CCCTCACACTACTCCAGCAGACTGACCAGCACCTGATGCATAGGCCTCAAACTGAAACAAGTTAGTCACGCTTGGACAACTCCCTGCTCTTCCAACCAAAGGCTATTTTGTGTTTTCAGTTGATATGTCAACCTAACAGCAGCAAATACGCAGGAACTGTTTGGTTGGAGAAGCAACTCCTGACAAAATCTGCCAGTTGCATTTCATGTATTTGGAGCAATAATCTGCCAAGGGGTTGTCTAGGACCCCTTCACAGCTACATCAAGACAGTTGGGCAGCCTGGCCTGCACATGCCCCCCCACTTCCAGGTCTGTGTCCCTTTTCCTGGGTTCTCAGTTCCAGGCCCCTCTGGACATTCAGAAATCCAGCCTCAGTAAGGCCACCCATGTAGATGCTGACATCATTACACATGAAATGCAGTAACGCCAATACTGCACTCACATATGTATTATGGCTGAGGGACGCCTGTCATCAGTAACTGATATCACCAGGTCCACTTTCACATGTGCAGGTGGGATTTTAACTATCATCTTTATAATGAGGCCAATTACTCAATTTTAGTATGCAGCAAGGTTTCTGTATTGTTGCTCACAGATACCCTGTAATTCTCTCAACCATTTTGTGAGCACTCACCCTAATCACAGTAATTGCGAAGGCCAGATTATGTACAGTAATAAATTTGCTTCAATGATGCTGCTTAAGTAAGTACTTATACTAACTTGTTCTAAACAAACTCCTTTGAAATTAGAAGCAAAGTGATGCCAATTAATCAAATTTTATGAACATAAGTTAGTTCTGTTGTGTAAAATTCTAAACCCTTCAGTTTTGCAAAATGCTCAAGTCTTCTCATTTGCAAAATGAATTTAAGTGTGACAAACAATATTTAGCAAAACTTTGAGAGTGTTAATGTATAACTTCAGAACTCCATACATATTTAAACTGTATCTGAGACAGTGATTAAGAGATATCTGATTTAGCAAAGTTATACTGTTTGAGTTACTCTGAAAGCAGACAATTAGGATATTATGCTTTCATTTTACATAAATCAAATGTCACTACTCAAGCACTTAGAGCATGGAAATTAGAAGATGGAATCAACACTAATTCTGATGAATGCATGATTTTGAGAACAGGACAGACTAAGAAATTTCACATTATAATTAAATTTTGGCAGAAACTATTGCTTTTACCAAGTAGTAACTTACTTAAACTTGCTAGTCACACATATTGGCTCAGATCTTCCAATGCGGAGATAGACATTGTAGCAGCATAAACTGGAGTAACGTGTTGGGACCATGTGGAAGTCCCAATGCAGCTGTGTAAATTCCCCAGTAAACACGCAAGTCCAATGGGCACCTGGTGTCTGAAGCCCTCTGAAAAGATGCTCAAACTTTGAGTTAAAGTTGGAGGCTTTAAAAGATTCTGACTAAGCAGAATAGTTACTTAGGAAAAGTTACCTAGGAAATGTTAGAGGAATTAAAGACCCACTTCTGGGTAACTATTAAACTTACTGCACATTGACACCCCACAGACACCAGACGAGATCCAACAAACCTCTTTCATTACTCAATGGCTCACTGGACATGAGAACCTCCCAGCATGACCCAGCACTGATTGCTCTACCCTTGCCTACCCCATAAATGAAGCCTTCTCCTAACCAGAACTCCCCACCCATAAATGCTCCACAGAATAACACCCAAGTCCCAACCTGACTCCCTGCTTTCTGACCTACGCTAAGCACTGATCCACTTACCCATTGCCTCAAGCCCTGTATCCACTTACCATCACAAACCCTTCAAGCCAGAGAGTTTGTACCCTCTTCCGACCACCCTGCCTACCTGGCACCCTGATCCTTAACATACCTCACGCATTTAACCTCATTCAGTAGCTTTCAAAGTGGCTACAGGACCATCAAATGTTGGGATACTGCAGAATTGGTGTGAAAAAGAGGGTGTGGTTTTGACACTGATTCATTTCACTGCAGGGTGTGTGGAATTCTGGATTACATTGGGCAGCTGCAAGTGAGAAGGCTCCTGGCACAGATATTCACAGGGAGATCTCCCTGAAAGGCAAGCATCCATTTCTTTTCTCTGATGAGGATCGGAAATAGATTCATGATTGGAAGATCTGTGCCACTGTTTCTATGAATTACATGCAACTTAATATTAACTAGTTAAAAATTGTACACTTCGAAAAGGTAATTTTAACACTAAAGTAGAGAGGATTAAGAACACAAGGATAACAAAAATAGAAAACTATTTGTTCTGATAACAATCTCTGCTGCAACATCAGCATCATTTGTATCACACACTGCAGTTGGAAAAAATATGGAAGCAGACATACAAGCTCACTCGTTCAACAAATACAAGAAACGTGCTATCTGAACATGCTGTGCCAAGTATTTCAAAACTCTCTCCAGGTAGACCAAAGTAGCACACATTACAACACAACAAAACATCCAGGTAAAAGTTAATAAACAACAATCTGGATGCCTCACAGCCAAACTAGAACAGTTAACTATAAAAGTGATTTGAATTAATTGGCTGAATTATTTTCAGCATTATTTTGGCACCTTTTGTTAACATGTTTACTTCTTTCTGATAAAAATCTTTAATTTTTGATAATCATAGATTCCCTTGGCAACTTAAAAGGCACAACAGCTCCACTTACCTTCTAGGCCTAAAGAACTGTGCACATCCAAGGCAGTTTCACTTTTCTTCTTTCGAGGAGGGGGAGCAGGCCGTGCAGGTGGTGGTGGCCGTGGAGGAGGGACACTTGAACCTGGTGGAGGAGGGCGTATCGGTGTGGGTTTCTTTGTGCTAGCTACTATGTCGGGTTCTACATTCATCTGCCGTGGTAGTTTTGAAGGTTGCAGCTCTTCAGAGGAGAGCATGTCATGGAGAGGGAAACAATCTTCAGAAACATGTTCCAAAATGTCTGCTTTCTTGACCTCTTTGACCTCTTCAGCTTTATCGACTTGTTGTTGCGAAGATATAAAAGAGTCTTCACTGCACTTGTCCAAACACAAACTACTCACAAACTCTGATGATGTTTCATTCCCATCACTCAGTGACACTGCTGAGAAAGTTTCTGAAGATGGCAGAGTTGTAACAGTACGTGACAGGTTTGTCTGTTCAGTCTGTACATTTGAGCTACTCTGCTCTGTCAAGTCCTTTGGCTTTTCACACAAAGGCTGATCAATAGTTAATAGTCCAGAGGTGTTGATGAGCAGATCAGCTTCAACTGACACACAAACTGCAACCTGTTCTTTTTTAAAAATGCTTTCCTCTTCACCAGTGTCAGAGTCAGCTGATAGCTGAATCCTCATTGATGGCTGTTCTTCCTCTGGCTCCTCCAGAGCCTGAGAAGCGTAAAACAAAAACAGGATATAATCAGCTGCCAGGTCAGAAGAAAGTTCATAAACAAAACTGGTTTCTATTCCTGAAATAATAGTCAATTATTTCTGTTTTATTGATTAATAACAATTTAAACAACATTATAAATGCTGGACTTGACATGCCAGTGATGTTTAAAATGTCACCTTTCATTTAGGAACACAAGTACGATCAGGAGTGGGCCGTTCAGTTGATGTCACCCTATTCAGCTGTTCAACGAGATCACAGTTGATCTACCGCAACACCATTTTCCCACACTATTCCCCATATCCCTCAATATCTTTAATATCAAGAAATCAATTGGTTTCTGTCTTGAACATACTGAATGCCTAATCTTTCAAAGTCCTCCAGGGTAGAAAACTCCAGTCACCATCCTCAGCAAAGAATTTCCTCCTCCACGCTATATTCCATCTGCTGTGTTCTTGTCTAGGGCCCCTTGAAACCTCCTTGCAGGCCCCTCGCAACCCATCTAGTTTTATGTCATCAGCAAACTTGGAAATACTACATTTAGCCCCCAAATCCAAATCAGTACCATCGACGGAATAATTTAAGGTAAAATTGGGAATTCAGAAGCACCCCAGCTCAGAGTTTGGCCAATATAGTCTGGTTACCATGGGGTGAAACTTAGAGAAACCTAGTGAAATCAATTGATAGTTTTCAAGTCTGTCTACAGTCAGACACAGGGGTTTGGGTGGGTGGTTAGCAATGTTGCTTTCTGTCTGAAAACAAGGGAACAGAACCAACAAGCTCTTTGGAGATTTATGGAGTTGCTGAAGTCGAACTTGCTGGTGGAATCAGATATGGAAGACACAGGCTTAGCTGAACTGCTTTCAAAGGACATCTGAAGTTTTGAGCTAACAAGCATGGAGCAAATCAGCCCATTCAACTCACTCCTGTAATGCTACATGTCTACCAGAAGAGCAGTGTACTGTTAAAGGAGTTGCAAGACCCGTCTCAAGTATTTTAGATAGTTAAAAGCAAAGTGAAAACACAAGGTCAGTTTCAATCTTTTTAAAAGTTTCAGATCCACACAAGATCCCGAGGAAATCCTCCTTTTCCAAGTGATGCTGATTTTGGGTACAACCAGTAATGATACAGAATGGTCCATTACAGATCATGACAAAGACTGGAAAGCTTAGAAAAAGCAAAAAAAAAAAAAAAAAAATCAGCTAGTAACACTCAAACCTAAATTCCTGAGCATAAATCTTACAGGTCAAATGGCTAACACAATGTGCCCATTGGTGTGACAAAATATTAATGGACAGCTTACAAGCTTAAAAACAGGTAGCTTGTTCTCAGGAATAAAACAAAATCAGAAAGATACTGTAGTGGCTTACAAGCACAATAACAAACCTCATCTTTATCTTCATTACTGTGATCAAATGGAAAATCTTGAACAAGAGGTTTCTGTGTTACATTGTCCATTTTATCCTGTTGGGAAAATAGATCAAAAAATAAATCTACCATGGTCTCTGATATTTAAGTGTAAAATTAGACACCAATACTTCCTGTTAATTACATCATGGCACATTGTTTTAAGATTTCAACTCTTACATTGTAAAGAATTGAAGGGTTTGATGTTTCATTCAGAAATGCTTGTATCAACTTAAGTTGATTTTTTAAAAAAAATCACTTTTTAATTTGCAGGTTTATGATCATACTAAATTAACCAACCGAAAACTTAATAATACTTAAGTTACCTTTTGAAATAATGATTTGCATTTTTGCTCAATCTTTAGTCAATTGTTTGCCAAGTATAATCCAACTGCCTGATCAATGCCTCTGCCCCTTTTTAAATGGTAAATAACAAAACATTGGCAGTCCTCTAATACCAGGCCTGTAACTGGACAGGATTTGAAAAGTGATCAGAGTCTCTTAGACTTCCTTTCTTCCTTCTATGTCACGTGTGACACATTTCATCTGGGACTGAAAATGTATTTACTTTCAAAGGTACTAAGCTCCTCTATATTTCCTCTCATTATGATCATATTACGATTCATAAACTTCATTCCACCTACCTGACTGCAACATCAGCAAGGTTTGCTTTTACTGTGAAGTGAATTGCAAAGTATTAGTTAGGAACCTTGGCCCAAATCTTCCACCTCCATGCACAGGCTATATTTTGGTCTCCAACAAATCCTTAAGTTTTCTCACTTATCCTCTCTGAACTAATAGAACAGCTTTTGGTTTTCCTCCATTTCACTTGAATTATTTGCATTGAAGAAGCCCAACATTTGACAGGCGTGTAAAGATCAACTGCACAAATCATCTACCTTTTTATCTGACAAACATTTAACAAGTGTACATTAGTTTGCCATGTGTAGAACCAATCAAAATCTGAGATAATGGGCTTTTACCTTTAATTTGCCACAAGGTTTAAAACAAGGCTTTCTGGAGTTGACTGTGGGTACTGGAGATTGTGCCAGATCCAATTTTATGGCACTGATAACACGACACCTGTGAAAAAGCGCTTTTGGACTGCAGGAGGTTACAGGAAATTAAAGAAGCAGCATTTGAAATTAGTTTCACACCAAGACTGAAGAAATCAAATGAGACCTAGCAAAACTAGATCGAGAACATAAGAACCAGGAGCAGTAGGACGCCATCTGCTCCTTCGAGTCTGCTCTGCCATTCAATAAGACCATGGCTGAACTTTTCATGGCCTCCGTTCCACTTACCCACCCTTCCACCATAACCCTTAATACCTTTATTATTCAAAAAATTATTTATCTTTGCTTTTAAAGCAATGAGGAAGCCTCAACCACTTCACTGGGCAGGGAATTCCACAGGTTCACAACCCTTTGTGTGAAGAAGTTCCTCCTCAATTCAGTCCTAAATCTGCTCCCCCGATTTTGAGGCTATGCCTCCTTGTTCTAGTTTCACCTGCCAGTGAAAACACCTTCCCTGCTTCTATCTTATCTATTCCCTTCATAATTTTATATGTTTCTATAAGATCCTCCCCTCAGTCTTCTAAATTCCAATGAATATAATCCCAGTCTATTCAGCCTCTCCTCATAATCCAATCATCTTAACTCTGGGATCAATGTAGTGAATCTCCTCTGCATCCTCTCCAGTGCCAGTACATCCTTTGTCAAGTCAGGAAACCAAAACTGCAGTACTCCAGGTGTGGCCTCACCAGCACCCTATAGCTACAACATATCCTCCCTGCATTTAAACTCAAACCCTCTAGCAATAAAGAACAAGATTCCATTTGTCTTAATTACCTGTTGTACCTGCAAACCAACATTCTGCAATTCATGCACAAGGACACCCAGATCCCTCTGCACAGCAGTATGCTGCATTATTTTTAACCACTGAAGTACTAGTCCCTTTTCCTATTATTCCTACCAAAATGGATGACTTCACATTTATCAACATTGAATTCCATCTACCAGACCTTCACTCACTCACAATCTATATTTCCCTGCCAACCTTGAGTCCACTGCACAGTTTGCTCTACCACTCATCTTAGTGTCATCCGCAAACTTTGACACACCACACGTGGTCTCCAAATCATCTATTTAAATTATAAACAATTGTGATCCCAGCACTGATCCCTGAGGCACACCACTAATCAATGTTCACCAATCAGAAAAGCACTCAATTTTCCCCACTCTTTGCTTCTTGTTAGTTAATCAATCCTCGGTCCATGCCAATACATTGCCTATAACGCTGTTACCTTATGCAGCAGACTTTTGAGAGACACCTTGTCAAATGCTTTTTGGAAATCCAGATACACCACATCTGCTGCGTCCCCATTGTCCACCATGCTAATAATGTCTTCATAGAATTCCAGCAAATTAGTCAAGCATGGCCCATGGAACAATTTCTATCTAGATGTCTTGCTATTTTTTCCTTGACGATAGATTCAAGCATTTTCCCCACTACACAAGTTAAGCTGACCGGCCTATAATTCTAACAAATAAAACAGGCAGATTCAAAATATGATTCTTAGCCAGACTAATAATACCTCAGCAGTGCAGTGCAATAACCCTGGTCTCTTCTTGGTGTCATGTAATTACCTTGGTTGTGTCAGCTGCAGTTTACCTTAATAGTCATCAGCCCATTAAAAAGGCTCCTACGCAATTCACCCTCTATTGCCCTAATAGGCATCAAAAAGAGTACAATTTTAAACATGAAGTATGCTCAGGATAACTTCGCTTTCTGCAATTTTCAGTCTTGGTTTCAAAGATATTGTAATAGAAGCAAGCCTCAACCTAAAAAACTAGCCAAGGGACATACCATATTTTAAAGCCACTTCTCGTTTGAAAAGCTATCCCCATTATGTTGGTCCATGGCAAATTTATCAATCAGATATGCATATATCTTTGCCCAGAAATTTTGTCTAGAAAGTCCACACTTCTCAAAAAGAAAATAATGTCTTTGCACTGTTTATACTGTTGCATTTGTAGTGGGGGGGTTTATGCTTTCTCAAAAATCCTTTCCTTGGTCAGCATGGAGTTTAGATTATATTATCATCTGATAAATACAGATAAAATGGATGAAATAAGACAAAAAATTTGAGTGGTAAAAGGACCAAGTAGGAAGACAGTCTGTTCAAAACATATAGCACTGACAGCTCTGATTATAAATTCAACTGCCTGTAAAAGAAGCTTGCTCAAAGTGGATTATTATGAATATAACATTCTCTGGGAGAGAGGAAAGATGGGAACAAGCATCCCTTCAAAATTAAGCATTACTGTATTTAAAACTTAAACTAAAGCACACGATGCTAGTAGATTGACACTTAGGGGTACTGTTACAATCTCAGTTGAGACCAATAACTTCCTTTAAATACAAGAGACACAACATTCCAGTTATTTAAAGAATGAAACAGTTTGTCACGGATTAAAATGGGGAAAAAAAAGAGCCAAAACAAACACTAAATACTACGGAAAATAAATCCAGAATTAACAGGAGTTCAACATGGTCTGCCAGGCAAATTGTAGTTGAATACACAATAAATGGTAGATAGAACAAAGTTGGATCTTATAAACTAGCTCAGCAGTACACTCAGATTTCGGTGATCACAGTCATTCACAAAGTCATACAAATGCCATCTTCCTTATGAGAAATTTCAGCTTTGATTCTTGCAGAATGTAGCCTGATTCTTAGCTGCTAACAGCACAGAATGTGCCAGAGCATCAGAGGCACGGTCTTCTTACCTGGTACACATCTGCAGAAGCTGTTCACATCTGACTGAAAGGGGACCACCCACCAATATCATCATCTTAGCTTCTAGATCTGGACTCAGCCTTCCTCGGTCTTGCCAGTTTTTCACCACTGGACTCAACTGATAATGCTCAGCATGGATTCAAGTCACCACATAATCTGGGAACAATCTAGGATGCTACTCCTGCAAAATCTCGGTGCCTCACACCTCAACTGCCTCTCTCGATACTCTCAGAAATTCTTAAACATTTAAATCTGTCAAATCATTAACTAAATACATATTGTAAATGTAAATGAGAAACTATTCCCACATAAACTACTCAATTTGCCAAGTTTCTTTGTAAATTAAATTTATACAAGGGAACACTCCAATAATGTCCCCTATTTACCTTTTTTTAAAAATCAATCAGGAATGCAAATCTGATCAGCCATGATCCCAGTATTTCAAAATATTCATTTATTTATTCTGTTCAAGCAGAAAGTAATTTTGTTTCCATTGGAGACGGAACTTCAAGAACATAACTTACTTCAATCTCGAACGAATCGCCTTTACAGAGATGAGCTACATTCACTATCCTAGGTTCTGAGAAATTGATTTGCAATTGTACTATTGCTAATGCTTCATCATCTATTACCTTTACCAGTGCAGTCTTTTCTGAAGACTTTTTAGGGTTTTTCCTAACACCAATGATTTAACATTCCTTTTTTATTCTCTCGTGAGATATGGGTGTCACTGGTTTTCCAGCATTTATTGCCCGTCCCTCATTGCCCCTGAGAAGGTAGTCGTGAGCTACCACTCAGGGAGACCCACAATTCCATTAGATAGGGGAGTTCCAGGATTTTAACGCAGCAACATTGAAAAAACGGCGATATATTTCCAAGCCAGGATGGAGTGTGCTGGGAGGGGTTTCCATGTATTTACTGCTGTAGTCACAGTCAGAGAGTAATAACAGCACAGAAACAGGCCCTTTGGCCCAAACTGGTCCATGCTGACCATGGTGACCATGGTGCAGGGCTGGATGAACACAGCAGGCCAAGCAGCATCATAGGAGCAGAGAGGCTGACGTTTCGGGCCTAGACCCTTCATCAGAAAAAGATGATGCTACCCAGGCCATTTTGTGTGTGTTTATGTAGTGGGAGACTTGGAGTAAAATTCAGTCATTAAAACGGTTTAAAATAAGGA